TGGGGCTTGGAGTCACTTCAGAAATGAATGCATGTGAATTCTCTCAGGTAAATCTTTTTGAGAAGCTGTAGGCAATTTGGTTGAAATCTTCATGCACTGTTGCAGGCTGAGACTCTCCCGTGCTGATAAGGGTCAGGCAGAACATTAGTGCCCTGATTAATTCTCCCTCCTAGAGGAGTCTTCTTTATCTCAAGCAAAATGATTCTTAGTTTGTATGAGAAACGTTATGTTATGTAAGTCTTACAGAAGGAAAAGGGCTCCAAAATGGCTTTCTAGGTGTTTCTTAGAATCAAGTCTTGTTTCTGATAGAGGTTGAATTCATGAGAATTGGGGAAAGTACGTTTTCAATGGCAATATTCCATTAAATGCAAAACAGATGATCACTCCAAATTCAAAAGCTATTCTTGTCTGTTACATTACCCTTCTCAGAGACCATCTATCACAACATCAAAACTTCAAATGTGTAAGAATAGCAGTAGCCATTTCGACTCTCCCTCTTTCTATTATTATTTTATTTGTCAATGTAAGAACCATCCATACCTCTAAGAATTTTTATGAGTTTATTTGAGCCAAACTGATGACAGCTGCCAGGAAGCAAAATCTCACTGGATTGAGAAAATGTTCTGGAAAAATGGCAGTTTTGCATCTTATCTATCTATATATAAAAGGCTAATATGCAAAGTGTCCCCTTGTGAGTTTTACCATGAGACTGGGAGTTTGATCACTCATTGTGATGTATGCTGACCATTGGGGATGGTGATGAAAGTGTCAGGTGACCAGTGGTGGTGGTGGGGCATTGAGGGAGTGAGGGAAGGAGGAGGTGGGAAGGTGGGGAGGTGGGGAACCTGATCGGCCCTGATCTCTGGCCAGCCCTAGGGATCCTACCTGTGCACAAATAATTTTGTGCACCGGGCCTCTAGTTTTACATATTACAATAAAAAGAGGAGGGTTAAGTAGGTTACATGAAATCCATTGGTGATAAATTAGGGAAGTGGGTACAGGATAGTTAATTGTCAACAATCAACAGGGTAAAAATAACAATGAGGGCATCTGTGGTCTCAGCAAAGGCATGTTTATCAGGGATGTTACCCTAAGACAGTGGTAGGCAAACTCATTAGTCAACAGAGCCAAATATCAACAGTACAACGATTGAAATTTCTTTTGAGAACCAAATTTTTTAAACTTAAACTTCTTCTAACGCCACTTCTTTAAAATAGACTACCCCAGGCTATGGTATTTCCCCATTTGTAATGCCAGGAATCATCTTGCTTGTTACTCCATTTCTCCCCCCTCAGCTAGAAATGGCTCCTCCCTAGGCACTATGAGCCCAGCCTCTAATACACCAGCAGGGCAGGAAGTTCACAGGGAACCCAGAGCTTTTGTTTTATATTCTTGAACTTTTCTTAATGTCTTTTTAAAAAAATTAAAAAAAAAAATATTTTATTGATTTTTTACAGAGAGAAAGGGAGAGAGATAGAGAGCTAGAAACATCGTTCAGCTGCCTCCTGCACACCCCCTTCTGGGGATGTACATGCTCTTTATTGGAATTGAGCTTGAGACCCTTCAGTCCGCAGGCTGATACTCTATCCACTGAACCAAACTGGTTTCGACCTTTTTTTTTTTTTTAGATTAAAAAGTATTTTATTGATTCCAGAGAGAAAGGGAGAGGGAGAAGGAGAGAGAAACATCAATGATGGGAGAAAATCATTGATTGGATGATTCTTTTGTGCCCCCCACTGGGGATTGAAACCACAACCCAAACATATGCCCTGACTGGGAATTGAGCATTGCTCTCCTGGTGAATGCTCAACCACTGAACCAAGCCGACTGGGCTCTAAATGTCTTATTATTGCTGCCCTAAACTAATTTCTAATGTTCCTGGCCAGAGCCTTCAGACTTCTATTGCTTTGTTTCTCTCCTAGTTCCCGGATCTCATCTTCTCCAGATAGTAGTGGTTGACCTTGGGCAAATAACATCACCTTTTTGAGCCTCAGTTTTCTTATCTGTGTAGAAAATGGGTTGATAATATCTATGTTGCATGGATTAGTTGTGACGATTATATCAGTCAATATCTTATAGGAAAACACCTGGCAAGGAGTAGCCATTTGGTTCATTTTAGTTTTCATTTTTCTTTATTTTGGCCTTAGAAACAGTAATCTTTTACAAAGAAAATGTCACTAATCTTTTAAACCTAGTCTGCCCAGACACCGGAGCCCCTTCACATTTCTGCCTCCACGTGCCCATGTGTATCCTCACTTTACAGACCCTCAATGCTTTTGAGATTGTTTTTTTTTTTTTTTTGGGGGGGGGGAGTCTGCCCCCTCTTTCTGCCACACCCTTTCTTGCTTCTCTGTGTCTTCTAGGCTTACCTCTGCCATTACCACTATGCTCTTTTTGATGCCATAGCCAGGTGCTGAATATAATAATACCTGCTTTGCATACTTCAGGGATCACTCTAAGGATCGAGGGGGCGGGGGATGATTTATGCAATAAAAATGCTTTGCAAAGTAAGATGGGGTGCATTCACATGCATTATGATGTCGATGATTATCACTCTGCACTATCTTCAGATGACTAAAAATATCTACTCAGCCTGGACCTTCTCAGCATAATCTTATCTCTCTTGGACTTCCCCATACTGGCTGAGCAGTCTGACAGCTAAGCTATGGAAAAACTTGTGGGAGACAGCAGTGCTGGGAGTGGAGAATGCCTGAGTAATGAATTACCTTCTTCAGGGTCCCAGTGGGAAACCAGGCACCCCGGAAAGTGTTAATTGACCTCAGTTGAGTGAATGCGTTAGGCCCAGCAAGCATTTCATTTGCTCAGGCAGCCCATTGTGATGATACCATTAAATAATCATTATCATTACATGGAAATCCTGTCAACTTGGGGGTTTAGAAAGTGTTTCTCAAGTCACATACATACAAGCAACCGAAATGCACAGAACGTTTATCCAGAAGAAAGTATTTGTGAAGACAACATTTGTTTGTAATTGTCAGCATTTGGCAAAGGCAGGAAATGAAAGAATGAAATGAACCACAAGCTTTGGATTCCATCCAGTGCTTTTTCCAATCCCACATCTTCAAGGCTAGGGAGGGAGGCCTTCCTGTCGCAGGCCGTGAGCTCTAGGGAGGGGAGTAGGAGCCTGCAACTCCCACACCCCCTCGTCTAGGAAGTCATTTCAAAGGGAGCTGCCTCCAGGGAAAAGCAATAGCCCATTGGCCAATATTTATTTATAGTCTTATACCCTGTAAACATGTCTTCTTTTAAAAAATTAAGAGCAAAAAGTATTTTGGTTCTTGTTTGTTTGCACCACCTCCAGGCACTCATATCTGTTTTCCTTATTTCTGGGCTGGTTGCTCAACATCTTTGGTCTTGATGGAACTGGTTTCATTCCTCAGCCCTTCCTTATTATTAATGTTCTTATTATTGGTTAGTTCTTTTGTGTTTGCAGTGTCCTTGACAATCTTTTTTTATTAGCTGTTCTTTACAACAACACAGTAAGGTGGATCAGCCTCACTGAATATTTATCCAACAAATTGTCCAACGTTTTCTTTTGTTGGCTTTTGTTAAGATTTATGACAACCATTTTTTCCCCCTCTCCTTCTTTCTCAGAGTCGCCCTTCTGCAAGAGACTTATTTCATATTTGTTCTTGTGGGGCTCCAGGAGCCAGGGGCTGATGTAATCTGCTTTTCATTGTGTTTGGCTTCTCCCTCCCCTGTGGCTTTCTCACCCTCCTCACAATTACTCTGCTGTTGATGAAAATGGCGCTCAAGTAATCTAAAGTGGGTTTGAGTAGAGGGCATCTTTTTTCTCTTAATTTTTGGGCACATTTCTAAGTGGTCACTGCCTATCAGGTCTTCAGCACATGATTCATTACCAAATAATCAGTTGCTACTAATATTTTGTGGTTGTGGTTGCTGTGGTTAGGTATATATTTACTCTATGGTGAATCATTGGACTGTCAAACTTTAAAGAGGGATGTCTCTGGGATGGCTGGGGATTTGCACTTTAAAAAAAATTGATCTTAGAGAGAGGAAAGGAGTGAGTGAGGAAGAGGGGGAAGAAGAGAGAGAAACATTGACCAATTGCCTGCTGCACGTACCCAACTAGGAATCAACTTGCAACCTGGATATGCGCTGTGACTGGGAATCTAACCCACCACCGTTTGATGTATGGGCCAAAACTCCACAACCAACTGAACTACATTGGGGATTTGTACTTTAACAAAAAAGAATATCAATTCCGATCAACTAAGAAATGACCACATTTTCCCAAACCCACCATCATCACCACTTCTACTACCACCATCTCTTCCACAGAACTGCCTTACCCAGTCTTGCACCACCATGAAAAAGTACTACATGATGTTTCTCTTTAGGTACATAAACAAAGATATTCTGGTGTCTAGGACTTTATAAGTAAACAGATTGTCTCCAAATATTATTGAAAAATTATTTGAATACATAATATGCCTGTAATTCTTTATACTTCTCCATTACACTTACATCATGTTAAAGTTATTGTTGACTTGTCTTCCTTACTCACTAAACTGTGGTTTTCTTGAGGGCAGAACCCATATCTTACTCTTCATCCACAAAGTTCTGTGCAAGGCACTAGCGAAACTTTTTAGGGAGTTAACAAATGTCTGTTGAGTGGATGTTAAAATGCTCTGATTAAATGAGAAAATGCTTTTGCAAACTATATAATATTTTATAAACTAGTAAGGACCATTGAAATGTAACTTCTTTTTATTATAATTGCATTACTTTGTCTATACAGTATTGAAGGATAAATTTGAATCCTATACTTGATAAGAAATACCCACTTTTTAGAACAAGAATGATAGAATTTGATGGAATTTGCAAAAGATGAAAAGGATCATCATCATTATCATTATCTTTGTTTCTGATCCTGTGCTTCAGCACAGAGCCATCCACATGAAGAACAACCTTGCTGGGGTTTAGAATCAGCACCACTGGATTGCACCAGCCAACAGAAAAACAGGGAATGCTTCATGATTTGCATGTCATCCTCACACAGGGCCATGCTAATCTCCTCTGTACTGTTCCAGTTTCAGTATTTGTGCTGCTAAAGCCAGCACCAGCCATATTATTTTGACTGGTTTCTGTTGTTGCGTCTTCTTGGTCACCTGTGGCAATTGAGAGTCCAGCAATGGGTTGGATGATAACCTCTGAATGTGTTTAAAATTCATTAAGAAAATTCTCTGCTGCCCTAACCAGTTTGGCTCAATGGACAGAGCCCAGATTCAATTCCGATCAAGGGCATATGCCCAGGTTGTGAGCTCATTTCCCAATAGGGGATGTGCATGAGGCAGCCGATCAAAACTTTTTAGGGAGTTAAAGATTCCCTCTTATCATTGATGTTTCTTTCTCTCCCTCTCTGAAATCAATAAAATATATAAATAAAGCCCTAATCATTTTGGCTCAGTGGATAGAGCATTGGCCTTCTGATTCAAGGGTCCTGGGTTCGATTCCGAACAAGGGCATGCACCTTGGTTGTGGGCACATCCCCAGTAGGGGGTGTGCAGGAGGCAGCTGATCGATGTTTCTTTCTCACTGATGTTTCTAACTCTCTGTCCCTCTCCCTTCCTCTTTGTAAAAAATCAATAAAATATATTAAAAAAATATATAAAATTCTCGGCTGTAATGGTAGGTATTTTAGAAAATGTCCTAAGTGAAGTTGTACTTAGATAGGTTCTAGGTGTAGGTGGTTCTGGAAAGCTGTGAGTTATTCTGTGCTGTGCCAGATTTAAGCCAATGGAATAGTAGTTGCCAAAGCAATCAATGTTCTTAGCAGTTTGAAAATGGTCCAATATTCCAGAACTCTCCACACTATGGAACTTATAGTGTGGAGAAGGGAGAAAAGTGTTCTTCCATCCACAATCTCCTAGCATAGTTCTAAAAAAAAAAAATAAAAAAAATACACGGGCCAGTTATTTCTGCAGAACAAACATTACACGTAGTGATTAAAAAATAAGTTCTACTTTTGAGTCTGGCACATTTCAGGTACTTAATAGATACTGCCTGAGTGAATAAATGAACGAATTTAGCCTTCCTGTCCTAGCTATCCAAGATGTTTAACATTTGCATGTAAAAAAGGCTCAGGAATGACTTTACTGGCTTTCATCCAAGGGTATCCTGGGGTCAGTCAACAATAGGGGAAGAACTGACTTGGAGCCAAGTCCACTTACAAGAAGCAGCTTTTGATAAAAGCTCAGTTCTCTTATCAATATTCCTTCAACTGTTTCTGCAGCCCTGGAAAACTTTTTTTTTTTTTTTTTTTTTTTTTTTTTTTTTTTTTTTTTTTAAAGCAAATGCACTGTAGGCAGAAGCTGAATCAGAGAGCCAGAATTCGAGTCCCATCCCCAGTTGGGTGGCAAGACATGTCAAATCAACCCATTGGTAAGTTTTGGGAATGGCTTTACAGAAGGCTGACAGCACTTTTGAGTCTATGTATAGAAACATTAAGATTGCTTCTGGAGGTAAAAAATTAACCTGTTAGAATCTACTGAGTTAAATGAAGTTTCCAGGAAGCTGCACTCCAAGAGTCTGGCTTTCATGCTTTATCTTCATTCCTGGCCAGCGGTAGAAACAGAACATATTGACTTTGGGATCTGGTAATTGTCTTAAATTAGGGGCTTACAGGCCACAGAGCCACTTCCTTTTCTTTCTGCCTACTGAATCCTGCTCCTTAATTTTTACCCGCGATTCTGGTTTCTTCTCCTCATCTGCTAATTTCTGTTTGTTAGCAACTGGCCATCAGAAGACTTTTTTTTTTTTTTTTTTTTTTGTCTACTTGGTTCTTTGAGTGCTGAAGATTTAGCTAGCTGGGAACTGAATGGAGGAAAGAGCCAAGCAGGGAGATTTGTGCGTGAAATGGATATTTTGTTCCTCCGAAGATTTGTCACAGCAGATATAAAGTGTCTTTCTCACTCAAAGTACCTCCAAGCACATTCACAAATCAATTAGTCACTGGCAGGGCAGAGAGTGGAGGCAGCAGAAGCCCCGTGGTGATAGCCAGCGACCCTGGCTGCTCCCTCTCTCCGGCATGCTGTCCGTGATCATTAGATAACACAGTGACACTTCACCCCCTGGCGACTGTTTCCATTACAATCAAAACTTCAGAGAGCGGGTATGGCTTTCAGAGCATTGCTCCACTCCATTAATAAACAAACACCCACAAAGGAGAGACTGGGGAAAAGGGAGACCGGCCATCCCTTTGAGACAGAAAGCCAAGAAAAGGAAACAAAAAAGAAATCAATCTTTTATTTGCTCACTGGGAACTCCAGAACACTTACAATGTATTCTCTGGCATGTTCAGTCATTGACTAAGGTGGAACCGGAGTGTTTCTCTCAGTTCATTAGATAGACCAATTAAGCGCCACGAAAGAGTCTTCATTTTAAGAGGATGAGGCTCTTGACACCGCCCTTCTAAGCTTACAAAATAGGTGCGACAGGCCTCCTGCCAGTTCCTCAGCAGGCAGAGCCTACAACATATGCCTCAGGGGCCTCGGAGGTGCTGTGCGAGGGCGGAATCTGAAGAACACCTAAAAATGTGTCCAACCGAGCTGTCAGAGGAATTCTCATCAGTCACGCTGCGGGAACAAATAGAGTTTCTGAAACGCACACATCATTTTAGGAACACGATTTGAACTTTGAGTTCCCAGCTTGTTGATAATAGGCTTAGGGGAGGGGCAGAGGCCAGAGGATGGGAGAACAGGGTGACCACTGCCCAAGGTTCAAGAGAGTAAAGGTGAACCCCATCCTTCATAAGATTTGGAGCCTTTCAGACTCCAGCAAGCTGAGGGGCTGGAAAGAAAACTGCTTCTTATGTAATAGCCGAGGGCTCTTATCTCATTCTTGGGAACAAGCTGGGGGTAGGTGGCAACTATTCTGGTCTTTCATTTCACAGTTGGAAGAGCTGAGGTACAGGGAAGGGAATCGGTCTGTCAGCCCACGTAGCTAGATGTGCATGGGAAGAGAATTTCTTTGATGGCCCTCAGCACCTCCCCATCCTCCATCCATGTCACTTACAACCTCTGCTCAGAGCCCTTTGGCAGCCTCCTGGAGAGTAGGAATTGACTGCATCACTGAGGTAACCTGACAGTACCGGAGTCCAAAGACCTGAGCTTGAATTCTGCTCCTGCTCTTACTAGCTCTGCAGTCTCAGTTTATTCCTCTTTAAAAACGAGATGACAGCCAAAACCGGTTTGGCTCAATGGACAGAGCGTCGGCTTGGGGACTGAAAGGTCCCGGGTTCGATTCCGGTCAAGGGCATGTACCTTGGTTGCGGGCATATCCCCAGTAGGAGGTGTGCAAGAGGCAGCTGATCGATGACTCTCTCTCATCGATGTTTCTAACTCTCTATCTCTCTCCCTTCCTCTCTGTATAAAATCAATAAAATATATTTAAAAAAACAAACAAACAAACAAACAAAAAAAAAACCGAGATGACAATTGTGAGAATTAAAAGTGTTTGAAAGCATTTAACTCAGTGCCTTGTATACTCAGTAAATGTTAATTGTATTATGAATTTAAGGAAGAATTAAAATGAGCCCAGATTTCCTTCTCTGACAAGCAGGTTCCAGCTTCCTTCAACTCACACATTTCCCTACACCTGGGATTCTCAAAGCTTGGTTTCTGGACTAGGAGCCTCAGAGGCACCTAGTAACCCATGAGAAATGCAGGTTCTCAGGCCCCATCTTGGACTTGAACCAGAAACTCTTGGTAGGAGGAGGGAGGGCAGCAATTTGTGTTTTAGTAAGTCTCCCAGGGGATTCTGATACCACAGTTTGAGAACCAATGCTTTATATTAACTTCATAATGGCGGGAACAAAACACCGGTGACAGCAGCTGACATAATCATTGTTGCAACATGGCTGACAGCTTGAACTCAGGCAAGTATTGGTGGTACCACTGTATCTGTCCTGTCTTGGTGCATTTGTTGAGAAAAGAGAAAGGAAATTTGCTGAAGTTGACCATCCTGTTGAACATAGAAGACATTCTGCTATTTTAAAATTTTTATTATTATTATTATTTTTTTGGTGCAGGAGGTGGAATTGACAGAACACAATGGAACTGCATGAGCATGGAGCTGGTAGAAGAAATTGTCAAATATAATCCCCAACCCCCACAGGCCTTGTAATGTTGAGTGTGCAGAGACAAGGGAAGCATTGTGTTCTGACAGAAACTGTAGAAGAAGATGCCAACATTTATTCGCTATTCAGATCGATGCATAGAGTGTCGGCAAGTATTGAAAGGATTTTGAAAGTGCTTTGAAAGTTGAGTATGTGATGTAAAGCTTGGACATTTTAGAGCTGCGGAGAAGATCAAACTTTCTCTTCAGTTCTCCAAGAGGGAATAGGAGGTTGTGTCACTTGATTGACTCCTCATTTATCCCACAGAACTTCATAGTGGCTTCCAGAGAGCCTCTTAGCAAGAATGGCTGCTGCGCCCTTCCTCTGTGCCCTGCCCCTATTCCTTCTCCATCGTTTTGTTCCTTTCTAGAAAAGTTTAGAAGCCCTTCCTCTCCCCTTTCAAAGGGGGAAACATTGGTTGAGTTGCCCTAGCAGTACCTGAAAGAATAAACTACTTAAATTCAAAAACTTCTTATCGCTATAATTCAACACTCTCAGATGACAACATTGAGATGGAATTCCCTGGGTCCAAGTTCAATGCTCTTTAACCTATTCCCCTATAGCAAGCATGTCAAACTCAAAGGCTAAAACAGGCCAAATAAATGAGGCATGTGGCCCGGGCCGTGAGTTTGACATGCTTGCCCTAAGGGACCCGTCAGTAATCATGGGGTGTGGCACAGAAAAAAGGAGTCATGGAATTAGAAGCAATTTCTCTCCTACTTTTTCAGATATCATACTGAGAAGACAGAAAATAGCTAGAGAATTACTAAGATGTCTCAACTGACAGGGAAGGCAAGCTGTGGACCAGTAGCATGAACTTGAAATTGTATGGATATTACTAAGAAAAACAGCATACAGATAACCAATCACAAGGCAGCAAGGCGTATAAGCCAATCCCAAGGGTGTTGCTAAGGCAAAATTCTTTGAAAAAACCAATCAGGAGCT